CACTGATGCTTACTTTCTGCAGGGGGGCTCTGTCTTCTGCATCATTACTAAAATGATCACTACAGAGAACCAGGTCCAAGGATACTGCCCTGAGGTGAGCCACCGTCCCTGACACACGCTGAGGGTCTGTGGACCTCACTGCTTCTGTGATCCCTCTGAGGGTGGTCCGGGGGTTTGAGCTGCTGGTTTAGCTGTTGTCTTTTAAAGTTCGGGGTTTTGTAAAAACTGTACATTCTCCTCTGGGAAAGTCAGGCGTGTAAAACATCCGAGACAACACCTTAAAGGGGAACTCTGGCTGTTCAAACAACAAGCGAGCAAACATTAGAAGTTCTTTTAAACAAAAACAAAAACTGGACACAGACTTTTTATTGGGCTGTAGATTAGTAAAAGTCCCAACGTAAAAATTAAAAAGAGCAACTAAGGACGAAATGTCTTGTCTCTATTTACAGACAGCAGCTCTTTTATCTCAAGTTCTCCAAAATAAAAACCGGAGATCACAAACAGACAGCTCACAAGGACATTTGTTCAAATACACACAGACATTATTTCTTTGGACAGATATGGATTCAGGATATGTTTATGACAGAACACATGTCAGCAGTACAGAGTCAGGAAGCTTGTGTCCACACACACACACACACACACACACACACACACACACACACACACACACACACACACACACACACACACACACACACACACACACACACACACACACACACTTTGGCCTCTACCAGGGCCGGTTTTGCCAATAGGCGACGCAGGCTGAGGCGGCCGTCTGGGGCACAAATTTGCAGAATAAAGAAACGTTCATCAGATGTTTGCATGTGCGGTGTTTGACTAGACGTTGAAATGATGAAGTTCAGAAGTTTCTGAAATACTCACACCAGCCCATCTGGCACCAGCAAACATACCACATTCAAAGTCACTTAAATCATCTTTCTGAAGCTCAGTTTGAACTGCAGCGAATGGTCTTGACCATGTCATCATGCCTAAATGCACTGAGTTGCCACCATGTGATTGGCTGATAAGTAATATGAGATTACGAGCAGTTGAACAGGTGTGCCTACTAATGTTGCCGGTGAGTTACACTCTAACGTTGGATAGACAACCGTCCTGATGTTTTAAAATAGCTACAAATAGGGTTTTTCAACGCTAAATAATAATTTCTGCATCAAACTACAAAAATGTCAGACTGGGGTGGGGTAGATGGTTCTGCTCCCCGGAGGTGGTTGAGGAGGCGCCAGGTTTTTACTCTGCAGTAACTTTACGACTGCTCAGTGAGTGTAAGGAGCTGCTAATCAAAAACAAACCATCCACTCATAGCGGGGGTAAGGTGAGTTGTTGTTTGGCTTAATCTCGCCGTCGCTATAGCAACCCCATGCTGCTGCTGCCTGGTGCTGCCCTTGCACTAAAACGTCTCCTTCTCAGACTTTCCTCAGGACAGTGGTGGCGGTGGGGTCTGTAGAGCTGCAACAGTGAGGGATTCAGACCTACATACTGCAGTTCGACTGTATATGGACCGCAACTGCATGATTTAGACATAAAAAAGAAGATGATATGAATGATTTGTCCCCTTCAACAAGAAGAAATCTTGAGCAGAACCTGGCTCAGGCCTAGTCCACACGTAGCCGGGTTTTTTAAAACGAATATCCGCCCCTCCAAAAACTTGCATCCACACCACCTCGTTTTTAAAACAAACTCTGTCCACACGTACCCGGATAAATACGTTGTTAAGGACATGCCAGACCTGTAGGCGGCAGTACTTCCCCCGTTCTTAACCTCGTCCTTCATCTGTGGTCTTCCGCACGGAGCAGTAATTCCACTTGCAAAAACAAACAAGCAAAAAGCGCTTGGACGATTGATAAAGCGAGCGCAGCTCTGAGGGCGTCCATGCTGTCGGCTAGTGTAAACACAGGTCGCACACGTGATGTCAGCATTTTTTTGTCGCGGAAAGTGACGTTGCGGACCTTAAAACTCCGGTTTTGTCTGTCCACACGCAGACACCCAAAACGGAGAAAACGCAGATCTTCACTTTGGCCGGAGTTTTTAAAAAGATCCGTTTTCGTGTGAAAAAACTCCGTTTTCGTGTGGATGACAGGCCAAAACGTAGAAAAATATCTACGTTTTGGCAGATCCCCGACTACGTGTGGACAGGGCCTCAGTGTGAGAAGACAGAGCAGATACACACACAAAATATCTCTTGTTGCCAGCAGACTTGGATTCAGACCCGTGCTGCCATCGCTCAGGCTAAAACAACGCCCACTATGCCAGGCAGCGCAGTTACTGACATTCGACCCGCCTGACGTCACCTTCATGCTTTCCTTGTCCCGCTGTGACTTCTTGCTTTGCTGTTTCCACACGACTAGGAGTTACTAGAATAGTGTGCCTGCCCATTTCCCCCCAGAGCGTGTGTGTCTGTGTCGCAAATGAAAAAGCAAATTCCAAATTCAGAGCTCTCAAATCTGCATTTCTGTCGCGTCCATGGTGCTTTTTTTAAGTCTTCCTACCATTGGAAGATCCTACAGGCCGATGGGAGTGAGCGTGTCTGTGGAAACTGTGTAAATAATAATGAACGTCGTAAACTCCTGTCGGGTCAGTCGGGCTTGACTGTCCTCGTGACACAACTCAGTCTAAAAGTCTTCTCCTCTGATTACTGATAGGTAATTAGATTTATCCCATATTACCTTAAAGGACGACACACCCGTAGAGAGAGAGAGAGATTATTTGTAATGTCCATGTGGGTGAATCAACATGCAAGAAGCTGGGCCCAACCAACCAGCCCCCACTCTGCTCCAGCCTCAGCCTTCTGCTCTTACCAGCTCTGCATACCCTCCACCATTATGTTTGGTAATTAAATGTTAAGTAATATTTAATCTCCATAACCCTGGAACCTGAAATAAACACACATGACAACAAGGAAGACATTTTACCCTGAGTCCCCAAAACATGGAGAGTTAACACAGAGAAACCTCCTCCGAGGCTTCCCCACGTCACTCCCCTGTGCTCCCAGTTCGTCAGGGGCTTTATTCACAAATCGATGGGGGGAGAAGGCGGGCCTTCTCAAGTTACAGAGGTACAGAGTTTTCTCAATCAACATAACAGCCAACACAGAGATGCATGATGTGTTATGGCATCTTTTAGGCCTCAAAAAGGTACATATATAAAAATACCCAACAATTACACGATTCTAAACACTCATTTTTTCTTCAGGGTTTTCATTAAAAACTTGGGAACGAACACAAATCACTCACGAATTACGACGCAGTATTTAAAGAAGCAGTCGGTATCCAGTCCGTGAAATAACTGATGAGATTCTTCTAAATGTTCTGAACTCTGTGTGTTCTGCAGAGTGGGAGGAAGTACGTTTGTACCCACAACAGCAACTGCACACGGTTCCTCCACAAGCCAGCAGACTACGGTGACTTCTCGTCCGGTTTAGATTTTTTGGTTTTCAGTATTCTCGTTTCAACCTTTGTCTTCTGCTGTCCTTGTGTAGGAATTCCCACCGGGAGATGCGTTCCTTTTAATTCCAACGTCAGCAGTTGTGAAATTAAAGGCTGGTGTCCTGCAGAGATCGACACCATCAAGACGTGAGAAGATGCTGTGCATGTTAATATAAAATGGTTTTATAAAGACGACACCTGTTACAGATGATTTATTTTGTTAATTATGTTAGAGGAGTACAACCTGGCTCACCTGAAGCACCCGAGCCTCCGAGAGGTAAAGAAGTGATTGTTCTGCCTGTCTTTGTTCTCAGGGACCCCATGGAGGAGGTGAAAAATTTCACAATCTTCATCAAGAACAGCATTCGCTTCCCGACCTTCGACTACACCAAGTATTACACTGCTTGACATTACGCCTCATTTCCACCCGACACTAGCATGGGCCCTGGGTGATCCGGTCACAAGGAAACAGTTCTGATGTGGCTCCTTTCCACCGCTCAGCACAGATCCTCATTCATCGAGCTTGTTTACACTCACAACAGGGCCAGAAAACAGTTGAAGGGACTTTCTATGCAAACTTTGGACCTGGGATAAGTACATTTTGGAGCTGGTGAGACGGTTAAATGTTTAATTTCAGATGCATTTTCAGACTTGTAGCCCTTTGCGTGCACACAGCACAGCAGTGCAGTCATGAATTCCTTAAACCATCTCATTCCAGTGGGAATTAGCCATCACGCTGATATTTGTTTGATATGATTAACAATCCAAGACCATGGTCTTGAAGGGTGGAACGCCTTCTCCAGGTCAGGGATGAGGTCCTGCCCCAAGTGGAGGGGTTTGAGTCTCTCGGGGTCTTGTTCACGAGTGAGACAGCGTGAGATCGATAGGTGGATTGGTGCTGCGTCTGCGGTGATGCGGCGTTGTACCGGTCTGTCGTGGTGGAGAGAGAGCTGAGCCGGAAGTAGCTTTGGGTAGTGATTGAAAGAATGAGATCCCAGATACAAGCTTTCATAATGAGTTTCTCTGCAGATGGCTGGACTCACCCCCAGAGATAGGGTGAGAAGCTTGGTCATCCGGGAGGGGCTCGGAGTAGATCCACCTCTTCTTCATATCCAGAGGAGCCAATGGCCTCCGGTCAGGAAGCCTCCTGAATGTCTCCCTGGCGACGTTTTCTGGGTACGTTACGTCCAACCGGGAGGAGGCTTAAAGTAAGACCCAGGACATGCTAGGGGGACCATGTCTCTTGTCTGGCCAGGGAACGCCTTAGGATTCCCTTGGAAGAGTTGGCCCAAGTAGCTGGGAAGAGGGAAGTCTGGGCCTCCCTGCTTAGGCTACCGCCCTTCCGGCCTGACCCTGGATAAGTGGTTGAAAATCAATGGATGGATGGATGAAGAACCGTTTTCCCTGCCTAAACTCCTTTTAGGTAAATTAAATGTTTTTGTTCCCCTTTAGATCTAGAACATATCAGCAGCTCCTGAGCACCACAGTGCCGCTGTTGTTGATGATATCAAAGATTATTGCCATCTCTGCGTTCACAGGACCGCTTCTTTT